TTAACTCTTACATCATCCCCCTCTTTTTTTTTTTTTTTTACCTCTTCTCCACCCTCACATGCATCTAGAAGGACTTGACCTATTCATCATTCAATCAGCAGGAAAGGGGCACACAACATTTTACAACTCTTTTGCTGGCCACATCCATATAGCTGCTTTGCCATACTACACTTCCATTTCAGAGCCAGCAGAAAAACATTCTGCCCTATATCTTGCTGCCTCCACAGCACACCCTTATCGTGCACCTGGAATGCATCTGGCTGGCATCGCTGTCCATACAGCTTTAACATGCAACACTGTAAGGGCTGCCATTGGCAGTTCCCTCAGTTGGAATTCCAGCCCCACCCAATGCCAACCGGCACATGAAAGACCTCTCCAACTGGCCCAACAGATGCTAAGGTTATTCCATGCACTGCATTTTCTTTTCTTTCTTTTTTCCCATTTTACCTTCTGACCCCTGAACGCTTGTCTTTCTTTTTAAATCCTTGCATCTATGGGTTGACCAAACAATGGGTAATAGCAAACATTTAGACTTGTTTTGTTTTTTTCTTTGGTATCTTTTGGCTGCCATCTAGTTGTCATCCAATTTGTACAGCCAAGATGCAGCCAGTAGGTAAATACTGCTGAAGAGCTAGAATTTGAGAAAGAGTTTAGGGATCGGTGTGCGAATTGTAAACAACCCTAAGAATATTATATGAGGAGAAGAAGTGAGGAGCCAGAGATTCCCTGGAAGCAATGGCCACCAGAAAGACAATTCTTTGCAAGCAAGCTACAAAGTACAAGAACTGAGCCATTTCAATTACACATGCAAAGCCAGAAATGGACTGTTCAGTTTCAAACTTTAAATTCTCTAGGCTGACCAGTCAACCGCTCACCAACCCATGGGAAAAAAAAAAAAAAGTTCTAGAAGCCAGAGTTCCAGCCAAAAGGGAAGCAGATTAAGACGTCAGGACCAGACTGAAGGAGTTGGTCCAACAGGAAACCAGCATAATCGATTGAAGTTACAATATTGCTGGCATGGAATGCAGCATTTCAAGCCAGCTCCTTGAGGCATATTGTGTGGCCAACATTCCCTGCACACAGTGACTTGATGCAAGATGTTAGGAAAAACACCGCTTCCGGAGTCATTAATAGACTTTCATTTATGGAAGGACACTGAGATTCACATGCAGTCATGTGGACTTGTGAATTTGCTATTCCTTTCAGATGTTGCAGATTTACTCAGTTTGGGGTGGACATTTAAGACACAATGAGGAAATTAGTTTCTGTACAGTGGTCCATGGCTGTATAAATTTGTCTTCCTGCCTTTAATAAAACCCTTCTTCTCCTCAGAGTTTGAATCTTTGGCAGCAGCAGAAATATCATCCTGTGGCCAGATTCTTTGGGTTTGTGTGGGTACTGAAATTAGAGCTGTTTGGAAGAAGGGAAAGAAAAAAGACTCAGGTGCCCTAAGTAGGTCTTAAACAGCCATGGCAGCTGGGGTTCATTTCTGTAGAGATCATTCATTACAGATTAACTACAAGAAAACTAAGGGCATGCATTTTGTGATGGACTTCAAAAAATTTCACTGGACCCTTGAAGGATACAAAATGGAACAAATACCTTGTTTTGGTATTTGGGTTACATGCTACACTATTCAGAGAAGCAACACACTCATATCATCCAGGGTGCTGTGACTGCTGAGAGAAGTTCAGTAGCAATCTTCTCTTCCTTTTTCTCCAGAGATGCCCAGTACGTGCAGCTTCTTTCAGTCGGTAAAGATAATAACTCTTGCTGTTCAAATATGGTATTTGTAGCCTATAGCATTTCTGCATTGTTGTCCAATTTTGAACAAGATCAACCTTTAGCAATTTTTGTGGAAAAATATGTGAGATTTTATCTATGGAATCATAGTACAAGCTTGAAATTGAAGCTACATGTAGGTTTCCATTTCCATTTGTGAGGGAAACAACTCCAACTCATGCTGTTGTGAGCTTCCTGCAATCTACTATTCTCCTGAAGAAAAGTTAAATCCTCTTTAAAGATTTTTTAAAACCTTTTTCATCTTTTTTTTTTAATATTAAAGCAATTTTAAAAAATGGAAAAAGAAAAAAGGGACAGTAGCTATGTTTTTGCAGCTGACCACCTTATAAGTTTTAATAGGAGAGGTACCTGGATCAAACATTTAAATTAAAAAGTATTGAACTTCTGTTCACATTTTACTCTTTGAAAATTCAAGAGTTCTACCACTTTTTGTACCTTTGCAGATCTATATTTCATAGTCATAGTGTAGTGCTCTGCAGATGAAAGCCTATTTGAATTATTTGAGCTTTATATATTTATCTAAATTGGTATCCCTTTGTTAACACTCATCTCAACATTTGAGGGATGAGAACAAGGATCTTTTTTTCTCTATATATTTACATCTTGTTGCATTATTATATTTAGCCTTGTTTTTTCTAATTTAATTATCAAACAGCCTGAACATAATTAATTAAGGTGCAAATCATTTTGACTAGCCTATTAAAATTAAAATAAATATATTGACTCTAATTACTATTCTGGATCAAAACAATATAATCTTTGTATAGTGAGAGAGAAAGGCAAAAATAATTTAAACTGTATCAATGGCATATTAGTACACTGGGAAAAGCTCTAGTAGATGATTTACATGGTTGTCAGAATTCTGTTATTAAGAGGCTTAGCTGCCAATTACTTATGTAAATAGCTGTCTATATTCAGCTTTGTAAAGGCTTGTATCAGGCACCTTTTAATTAAAAGAACTACTAAACTTAGTAAGTGAACTTTAAATTAAAAAGAAGCTGCCTTCCTTGCTTTGCTTTTTTTTTTTCAATTATTCCTCAGAATGAAACATACTAGCTAAGTATCATTAGCTGAAATGAAATTTTGTTTTTGACATTCCAGAAAATAAGCTATCTAGTGGTCTGTAAAATCCATTTTGTACTTTGATCCTATAGTTATGCATAGAGTGGCTTGCATAATAGAGTTGTGTTAGCATCCTGCACACTAGCAAGATAAATCTGTTCTGCTTGTTTTTATGGAATTTCTGAATGTGCAGAGGCATTACACAGTAACTATATAATCTTTCTTCAAACAAGTACCTGAGGGACAATCACTAATATGCCCATTTTATAGATCAGAAACTGGGCCTAAGAGAAGGTGGTGGCCTAAGGCTGCTGCAAACGTGCATTGGGGAATAAGAATTTGATCTCATATTCTATTTATATCCAACATTTCTGATATGAAATTTCAGGGTATATTCAAGGCAACCTGCATTATTCTTGCTCAGGAAAGTTATAGGTTTCTCATTTGCATAATAATGCCTTATACATGAAAAGAATCATGTTATTTATGAATATTGATATTAAAGTTAAATGAGAAGCACATAAATAACTCTACTGATAATCATGCTTACTAACATGCTGGGGCATGACTATTATACTTACAGTGTATTGCTATTGATTTGAGTTTTTGTTAAGTTACTCTTGATGTCCTGAGTTCAGTTCTTGAACTGAAAATTAGCAACTTCTTTCCCTTTCTTTGACAGACCTGAGTTTCTGCATCAGTTTAAATACTGTATAAAATAAAACTGAACAATTGACTAGAATATGAGAGGGAGACACAGTGGAAGCAATCAGCAGAAACTGAGGGGATAT